TCCCTCAGTGATTTGTTTCAAAGTCCACCTCAGCCCCAAGGATCTTTTTATTTTCTTTCTTTTTTTTTTTCTTTCTTTCATGGAGGGATCATTTTACTGTATTTCTCCAAAAGTCTGGGCAGCTTAGGCTGAGCAAGACAACATGTGTGGTCATTTGAGAGAATGTATGGTCACACACATCTGTCCATCCCTTCAACTCTCCCTTCATCCCTAAAGATGAAGTGATAAAAGCTCTACTATCTAAATTCTGAGGAAAGCACAACTTGGCCATTTCAATTCCACACAGAAACAAAGCTGCAGGGACAGTAACAGAGGGGCATTATATTAGTTATTAACCTGGTTCTGGATGCCTTATAAACCACCTTGATCTCACGTTCTTTTGTTTGTTTGGTTGGTTTTTATGCTAATAGGAATTGTGAAAATAGCATTGAAGGCTTTTATGCAAAATGTTGAATGTGCAAACTGTTTCATTTTTATGATAAAGTTTAGATTTCTGGGGATGCTTAAGACTGAATCACTGTTACACAGTGCCATCAGGGACAATGGATACCTTCAGTGGGACTTTAACTGCCTTTTTTTAAATGACTATATTCAGTATATAGAGCTGACTTGCCTAATTAAATACGGTCCCAAAATGGCTTTTCTGACTCCATCAAGAGTCTTGTTCATTTCATTACTTTTAAACTGTATTATGCCTAGATGTACTATTGGTGTAGCTTATATGTAGTGTAACCCGTATGTAGTGTGGCATTATTAGCAAAGGCCTAGTAAAGAGAACCCAGAATGATTTCTTTCAAGAAAGATGAAAATTGTTTTAGATTCTTGTTACCCTCCCTCGCAGATTTCACTACATTTTTTTTTCTTTCTCTACACAGGCAAGAGCTTTGCTGCAGACTGCTTCACATTTAGCACCTCATATGTATGAGCCCCATTTTAATTTTGCAATACTCTCAGAGAAGGTAATGTACTGTCCTATTTTAAAATCTAAATATTGAGCCTTGGGGGGGGCAGTCGAGTTTTTATTGTTATTACTCAGAGTTCTAAACAGCTAAGACAAAACAATACTTAGGTTGGATATTAGGAGAAATTTCTTTACTGAAAGGGTTGCATGGCATTGGAATATGCTGCCCAGGGAAGTGCTTGAGTCACCATCCCTGAAGGTCTTCAAGAAAACTGTATATTTGAAATTTAGTAGCATGGTTTAGTTGTGGACTTCAGTACTAGGTTAAAGGTTGGACTATATGATCTTAGAGGTCTTTTCCAACTTGAATGATTCTGTGATTCTAAGAGTATGTACTGCGCAAACTCAAGATAAAACTGAAGTTACATTTTAATACCCAGAATGTGTATAAAAGTTGCCATTCAAATGTTTGTTTTTGAGAATGTGAGGCCAACTAGCCATAGAGAAACTTTGCAATTCTCCCAATGCACTGAAGATGGACAGTCCGTTAATAATTCCATCTACACTCTTTACAGTCATCGGCTTTTTCAGAATGTGAACTGAAATAGTATCAAATGATTTATCAGTAATTATATAATATATATATAAATATGGAATCCCAATGATTCATCCCATGGTTTTAGTAATCTCAAAAGTAATATCTCTTCTTCAGCTTTATGACCACTGAATTTTGTGTGTTAATATTTTGTTTCATAAAGAGTGTCTCAGACACTGAATTAACAGAGTGTCTGACATTACTATTAATAAGGAGAAACTTGTCCAAGTCCCCATATTTTTACAAGGAAAATAGTATTTCTTGGCTTGTGCCTATACCTTCAAGATTCTTTTATGAGTCTGTGTTGTGTGGGCAGCCCAACTCCTACAGATTGCATCAAGGAGTGAACAACCCATTACTTTGTAAGCATACCCTCTTCATTGTGAAACAGAATATGGTTTGGAATAATTGCATTATATACTTACTGATTAATGACTAAATCCTAGTCTGCAAATGGTTTGTTATGTAGCTTTTGCACAGAGGAACTGTACAGGCTGTGGAAGAAGACAAATGGCAAGGTCAACTAACTGTTTATGCAGTGTGATAATGCAATTCTTAGATTCAGTGTAATGTCATGGTTTATAGAACGTAACTTCTCTGACCAGGACCCTGGTTTTCTTCTCCTCCAGAGAATTTTTGCTGTACCGAACCTCTGTGTTGACAGACACACAGGCAACACAGCTCACCTGCTGCCACTTTCTGGTGCTTCTCCCTTTCCATCCAGAAGCTATCACTTTTTCTAGATGGGGTTCCAAACTTTTGGGTTCTTTTTTTCTGAACCCACTTTCTGAGGTGCTCTCCTTACATCACTTCCCTCTTCAAAGAAATGATGTCTATTTGCTCCCAACTTTACTTTTTCCTAATGTGGAAACATACTTCTAAAAGCAACAGAGGAGCAATATACATCTCATCAGCTCTGTGTGCTATCCTGCATCTCTGTGAGGTTGCAGATCACATGGAGTTGTGACCTTTGCAGAGGCCTGATTGGCTCTCTCCTTTCTATGAGACAACATTTATGGAATTTAAAACCAAGTCTTCCATTTTTTATTCCTCCTAACTTTAAGCACTGAGCATAGGGTACCTTGTCCTTTCTCCAAGAAGTCAGGTAAGATATAAAGTTACTGTCTTGATGCATCCCTCCCATTAAAAAAGAAAACACACACTTATTTTTATTCTCACCCCTTAAAGTAAGAGGGAAAAAATCCTGAGTCTGAAAAATTGCATACTGTCTGTTTTATTTGTTGTGTCTGAGGACCAGCTATGTTTAAACATTTGTGAGTGTCAGAACTGTATTTTACAGAATATATGATGCAAATACTGTAGCGCGTGCATTTACTAAACTATTTTGTGTGTTTCTTATAGGTTGGAGATCTTCAGAGGAGTTACACAGCTGCTCAAAAGTCAGCGGAAGCATTCCCAGGCCATGTTGATACACAACAGCTCATCAAAAGATTAAAGGAGCGCTTTGCTATGCTCTGATGACATATTTTTAACATGTAAAAAAAAAAATAAAGTTAGCCAGAGTTAATATCCCATATATTTTATTGTAAGTAGATAAACAATACTTAATCAATTCTTGTTGCAAAACCTGTGCTGCTTAGAGTAGCAGAAAAGGTTCAAGAGTCCTAATTAGTGTGTGTCATCTTAAAACTCATGACTTATCAAAATGAAGCTAGAACGTGTTACAACTACATACAGCTGAGAATACAAGGGTGGCAGGATATTGCCAATATGCAATTTTCAAATGGTTGTCTGATATATAAACAAGTAAGTTCTCATTTAAGATTAATGAGCATTTTAAAATATTTTTTCTGACTTTTCTGCAGAAAAAAAAAAAGTTTTAAAATATTCCTGTGTGACAATCTCTCAAGCAACACAGAGTAAGAATACTTCCTAACTGGTCTTCAAACATGGCTTTTGATAGTGTACTTTCTTACAGAATGTTAAATTTTAAAATTAAAGTAACCAAAAATGCATTTAAAAACACAGATGCAAAACAGAAGTTCTTATATTCCTTGTTGTACTTTATGAGTGAAATAAATTCCAGTTTGTATGGTTTGTCGTGTTTACTTGTATAAATTAAAACTGCATCCTTATTGCCTTGAAAATAAGAGTCAGAGGCCATAAAGTATTTGGAAGGACTCAGCAGAAGTGGTACTAAATCGCAGAAATACATGTGCTCCTTTTTACTGAGAGAGCTTAATCTTCATTTCACTGAGGGAAAAGGATATGTCAGTAAAAAGCTTGCAGAGTTAACTACTAATGACTGAGAATGAAACAGTGACTGGGTGGTTATCTGTGCTACCAGGTAAGCACTGTTGCTAAATAATTGTTAGGATCATCCTAACTACATGAATGCTACTAATAACAAGCAAAGACTTTGTCACTTATCTTGGTGTTGTAACTAAAAGTGATAAATTGGCATGATTTCCCAACTTGACCTTTAAGAAATGTGGGATGTTAAGGCATTCTAACATCCTTTAAAAATCTTTTCATGCTTAATGATTGTCTTGGCTTAGGAGCAACCCTAAACACACTTATGAATATTATATCTTCCTTTTTACTATCCATTATTTCCAAACCCTTGTATTTGTATGATCGTTGTGGCTGATGAAGGTAGGTGCTGGGGATCTTCGAGAAGTCAGAAAGCAGTCTGGAGGTGACAGTTAGCAATGCAATAACAAACAGGTGTCACAACGTGTTGTGAAATGCAAAAGCATTATCTGTTGAAGAAATGCAGCACCTTTAGTGGAAATCTCATTTTTTCTACGTTGAACTTTATATTGTCAAATTTTTTTCACAAGCTAATGATGACAGAACCTTAGTTATCAGTCATTTTCATTACCTAACTTAGATTTTACTTTCTGCTAGAGAGGAAGAATTTATAAGGAACTTTCCTCCTTTGATCTACTCCACTTACGTTGTTTCAGTTGACAGTGCTAAACTTACCAAGCCAAGCTATCAGAAAAGAAAATGTCTTAGCAGTTTAAATACAACTGTTGAGAATTTGTGGAGGTCATATTATTAATTCAAAGTATTTTTAAGATTGCATAGTAAATAAAATTCTTACTACATGGGCCAAAACTGAAAATCCTAATAGAAATTAAGTTTTTAATCCACTGTGTGGCAGCTCAGTTGTTCCTTAGAGGTGTTTTTATAAGATCCCACCTACTGTGATCACTACTCAAGTTGATGAGCTGAATAACTTTTTATTTTTAGGAAATCGTACTCCTTAGAACATAGATCTAGCATGATAATTCATTTAATATTGGGATATGTGTGGACTTTGAAAGGGAAAAGGCCCATGTATGATAAGGAATCCTTTATACAATATTCTTGTGTAAATTGATTTAAAACACACACACCTCTAAGTAAGGATTAAAACCTTTTTAGCTCCTTAATTTAAAGCAAGCCATTCCAAATTAATCCTACACTGTGTGTTTTGATTGCCCCAAAAGGCAGCAGCTACTTGCTTTGTTGACCTTTCACGCCCCAAAGCAAGGGTACGATGGAATTTTTTATTTTTTTCCATGAGTAGTACACGTACAAATTAAATCAAATGTGGTAATGAGAACAGCACCGCAGTGAAACAACAGATGAATGAGCAGGCGGTTTGTCGTGTAAGAATCTTTCGATTTTGTTTTATGTTGATTCGGGGCGAGCTCCAGTGAACAGATGAATTGGCAGCCCCTGGGGCAAACCGCCTTCAGTTAATTCAGTACGACACGGCGTAACACAGTGCATCACAATCTGTATTCATCTCTGTGGTGGAATCATGTTAGGACAGAGTGACCTTAATATTGCAGGCAGCATTTCTGTAACACAGAAATCATTTTTCCTCTAACCTGTAGCACAGCTCCAGCTGTGTCCAGCCAGCATTCATAAAGCCCCTTGGGAGAAAAATAAAATACAATAAAAAAAAACAACATGCAGAATTTTTCAATCTACAGGGAGACAGTGTCCACAACAATGTTGTCTGGAATTAAACTCAAAGCAGATTGCTGGGAGGTCTTGCAGTTTCTGCCTCCCTATAGGAAAGGACTGTATGGTTTATGGCTGTTAGCAGCAATGCCAGGCAGTCTTCACACCAGCCCTGTTCCTGGGATCTTTCTGATGGCTGAGTCCATTTAAAAGTTGATAGTGAAGGTTTATTAATGGATCTGGGTTGTTTTGCAAGGTGTCAGAGCCAAAACACCAGTCACAAAACTGGCTGAAATTCATTAGAATTCACAGGTAATGTTTGTGGGTCATTTTAGCTGCAAAAACCAACCTCAGAGGTCACTTGGACAGGGTAAGAGCAGTTTGCCAGTCAGCACCAGTTCCGTCACTCTAAAACTTTGGATAACAATCCCATTTTCTTTGTCTTTCTTTCTTTTTCCCTTTGATTGGTTCCTGTCTTTGCAGGCTAGAGATTTTGAGGTCAGTCAGATCTCTGATATCACGTGGGCCAAACCTTTTAAGACAGTTGCTCTTTTTGATGAACCCAGTTTGTACTTGACAATTGATCACCTGCCAGAGCAGCTCAAGTTTTGAGGTAAAAAAGCTACAGTATTTTCTGTGAAAGATTTTATGTGTAATCACTCTCACTATCTTCTGCTAGTCATCGTTCTAATAGGTGATTGCAAGTTCACTCATGTCCTCCCCTTCACCTGCCCCTCTCCCAGTGGCTACCCATTGCACTCCCACACCAGTGGGACTGTGGCCATTCTGCCTCCTCCGATACCCACTTTGTCACCAGGGATGCTAGAGGGTGTGAATGGCATCCGTGGCAGTTGCTTTTGACCAAACTAACTGTTTCCCAGTCATTGGTGGCAAGAAGTCCAGAGCTTAGAAGAACGTCTCACACCAACCTACTTGCCAAAACTAGGACATGCAGCTTCCCCCCAAACATCAACGAAAAGCTGCTGAGGAAGCTTATCGGCAGGCTATGTCTCTTGAGCAGGGGCAGAATTGGACAGTCTAAAACGTGGGTGAAAAATCAGTTCAGGATAGCTCTAGCTGCCTGCCAGGACACCAAACAAGCTGAGTAAAAGACCTGGTAAGATGCCATCCTGTTCTGCCCCACCCCAGGGAGTTCTCCAAATTGCCATTTACCCTGTTTTCAGATGAAACTGCCCAAGCGCACTGCAATATGCAACATGGGGCACAAAGTTCCCGTGGAGTCACAGAAAGGGTGAGCTTTCATCAGAAAGATGTCGTGAGAGACAGCTCACACAGTTTTCTCCACTTTCTGGAATTTATTAAAAGTGTAGGTCTGCTGCAAATTTACAAGGAGAGTTGTTTCTGTCTTGGAGTACCCTGTCCCTCGTGTCATATCATCACCTGTAACTTCATGTCATGTTAACTTGGTGGACCCTACTGTGCTGCAAAATACATCAGTGATGCAATGTCAACTAACACAGCTGATAAGCAAATCCCTTTCTGGCAAAGTGCCTTTCATTTCTGGATAAGTGGAAAGTAATTCAGGCACAAGTCTCTTGAACAAAGAAGAGCACAAGAAAACCCACAACATATTATTTAGACAGGAAACAATATTGCCCTCTGATACTGAGGCACCTCTGGGTCTCAGAGAGTTTCACCTAGCAACATAGCAGGCTTTGCTAAGACAGAGTTCTGCCGCAGTACAACGACACGTTTATCACCACAGGCCAGCAGGCAAGTGTTACCCATACAAGTCTATCCAAGCACCCTGAGGAAACGTAACCACTCTTGTTACACGGGACTCTAAGATGTACATACTATAAACAAATTCTCCTTCCCCCTTTAGAAGCCCCATTTGAGCTGTGGCTTAAAACACCACAGCAGGTATTTTAACAGTCCTCGAATTGTTTGTGGTGGGCCATAAATCTGCTGGCCTCTAAGGGCTTTGCAGAGCACAAGCAAATGTCATGTTGCCACCTTCCCGGGAATGGCATGGTTCCTCTCATCACAGCCGTGCATGTTGAAAGCCTGTGCTAGACACGGTCATGTCATAATCTCCTTCTGCTGCTTCATCCTATCAGCATGCACACTAAATATAGCAATTCTGTGTTTAAGGATAACAAAGGAGCTATTTACAGGAAAGATAAATGCTTTTTTTCACTCTTTTCTCCCCTCATACATATCCACAGCAGGTAGGCAGAGATGCTTGTCCCATTAGTTGATTATACCTGTAGTAAAACAACTATTCCCCCCACCCCCCCATTTCAGGCTGTTTTTGTTTGTTTTGTTGTTTAACTATTTTTGTCTCTACTTAGGTGATGAAACTGCTAGCAGCAGAGGAACAGCAGAGGTGATAGCCCCTCATAGCTGCTGAGAAATGAGAGCACTCACGCTGAACACTTCTCAGTGGGCAAAGAGAAACCACCCTGTGGTACTCCCAGCTATGCTCAGAGCTGCTCTCTTACACGGACAAGCTTCAGTATGAATATAACGTCTCCAGTGAGGCTTTAGCTAAGCTTTGTCAGCTAAATATACTCTTGATAAAAAGCACAATGAACCAAAAACAGCCCAGGCAGTTATTTTAAGACTTGTCTTACCTTTCAAAGAAAGTTGTTAAGAAGATCTTGGTGCCCCAGGGCTTTTCCTGGCTCCTGGAGCTCAGGAGGCTGCTTTCTGCCTCCCTTTGCTGGCACGTGGGATGCACAGGTGCTGGCAGTGCTACCAGTGAGGTTATAACAAGGAGCACCAGCCCCTTCCTGCGAGTTATAGCTGGGATGCATAGCTGGAGCAGGCTGGCATATGGCAGCTGAAGTAGGAAATACCTTTAGCTTCTAGAATAAGAGTTGCCTTTTTTTTTTTTTTTTTCTTAAAAACAGGCTAGAAATAGAAGTCATTTTTGATCTGTGTTACAATGCAATCTAAGAATCACTAACAAATAGCAAGTGTGGTTTCTCCTCCTTGATCCGTTTGATGACCTAATTTCATCTTTTCTCTCATGATGTGTTCATCCTGCCACACTGTTTGTATGCTCAGTGACTTTTTGTCCATGGGACCCCAAAAGCATTTATTTGCCTGTAAAGCTGTTGATGGTATCAGCATGCCTGTTCCCAAAGAAATGCATTCAAACTTCAACTCCATTCAGGCCAGCTTTGCCACAAAGCCCCCAGAACCCCTGGATATGGTTCAGCCTTTCCATTTGCTTGAAGAGAAATAGTCAGTCCATTTTGGTGGGACTTGTCAGCTGGATGCTTTGGACTTGTCCCAGTGCACACATTTGGAAAATAAATTACCTTCCATTTAATTGATCACACTGACAGTGGCAAGAATTTCATCCTTTTCCAGCCTGATAACTTGTATTTAACCCAATGTCCTTTTTCTATGCTCTGGAGGTTTAGGTACAACAGTAGACACACGCAGCATTTAATTTTATCTATCTCCACCACCTCTTGCTTTAATACACTGGAATCTCTTGAACGTCTCAAGTCTTGTTGTGATTTCTAAAATTTATGGTGGCAGCAGAGATAATATTCACTGAGATGCTCGCAGCAGCTCACAGCAGCCAAATCACCCCTTCTAAGCAAGAGATGTATTTGGACACTTTCCAGTCCCATTTCCCCTACAGTGCATGTTCGCTGTGCATTTACAGCACATGGTTTTCTACTTTGTGACCCTACATGTAACAAACAGAAGGCTGGATTTGTTGGTGGACACGAGTGGCATGGGAGGGCCCTGAACAGCCACAAGATCGTGTATTTGTACTGTGCAGGGGAGCTTATGGTGCCTCAAGGGACCCTGTGCTCACATAGCACGAGCTCATGCTGCCTTCCTGGGTCCTGCTGCCCTGGACACAATGCAAAGGGACTCAAAGAAAGCAAAAAGTCTGCACAGGCTGGATTCCAGCAGCAAGATCTTTGCTTGTGTAGCCCTGTAAGACAGCAGACAGTCGATACAGGCCAGCTGGTGGCTAGGGTGTGCCTGACACCTACAAGCAGCTAAGAACGATCTGGGAAGGTGCTCTGGAGAGAAGGCATTATCATCTTAAATGGCACCACGCTGCAGAGGTGCTGGGGGACCAAGGCAATAAGCAGTACCAGAAATGACTGAGAATAAAATGAAAGGATTGTATTGAAAATAGGATCTAGCACTGCCGAGTTCACTGATACTGTGTTGATAACCATGGTAGGTGTCATTGCCACGAGTTGTTTCCATGCTCTATCAAATATTCATTTCACTAAGGGAAATCACAAGCACACAAACAGGTACTCTGGGCTCCTGCTGGAGCAGTAGGAATTGCTGGAGGCCATGTGTGAATGAGCTCCTCTGGAAGGAGGGAACAGGACGGAGCATGAAAGGGGCCAAGTGTGCTGTGAGCAGTTACACAAGGGCCAAGTTCGCAGCTGACTGCACAGTGTAGGTGAGAAGAAAACACAAACTGCAGTGTCTGAACTCATAGGTAATGTTGGTGAAAGGCAAACCAGCAGGCAGATCTGAATCAAAGTTAGCTGATACCAACCTTGCTCCAACAAATATCTCTTGGATCAGAGAGAGGACCAGAAAGTTTCTTTCCAATTTCAAATATGAAAGAATATGTGCTGAATAGCACTGAAGTGGTGCTAATTTAAGTACTATCTGTGGGAAGTGTGCCCCTCAAGAGCACTAATGAGGGCGCAGCGAACACAAGAGTCCTTGCAGATCCACCTGAAAATCAGCAGCCTCCCCTCCCCATCACCTGCACACCCTTCCTAGCTGACAAAAAGCAAAGGGGAATAGGAAGCCCTGAAGAGATTACTGAAGACAGATCATCACTGTGCGGCTTCCTGATTTAGCCTTGCATTCTATCCCTGAATGCAGATGTTGTCTTGCTGCTGAAGCTGCCCTTTACCCTGGGCTGGCCGTCCCCTGGCATAGGACATAGCAGGAGGGATGATGGAGCATACTACACAAACCCTGGTGACTGGGGCTTTAACCTGCCCTTCAGCCTTTGCAGCTCTGGGGTGGTATTTTTTCACGATTCAAATTTATATTTGTGATTTACATACAAATGTAGGGTTGTCCGGGCTTCTTCCTTGGCTCTGGTGAAGCCACAGCACTTCATAGCACTTCTCCCCTGGGCCACAGCATCTTCCCTGTCCTGGTGTCACCTCCTGCTCCTGCCACGAGTCCCTGTGCTGGGACTTCTGTGGGGGGGAGGCTGGCATGTGCCTCAGGAGGGAGAGGAGGCCACTTGTTTGCACAGTGAGGTAAGGCCAAGGCCGCAAGTGGCAAGCCTTGGCCTTTCATATTACATTGGGCCGGAGGTCCTCGCCATTCTGTGTATGCACAGGCCCTGAAAGAAGAGCTGCCGAGACGGAGACATTTAGAGACAGCAAACACGGGGAGACCGCTCACCCTGGGCTCCAGGTGCAAACAGTGGAGAAAGGAGAAAATGTCAAATCTGCATAAATGCTGGATGGCTCCCTGATGGTATTAAATGCCTTTTTTGCATGCCGTCTTCTAACTACAGAAAAGTTGAGTTAACCCTTTCTTTTCCTTTTTCTTTTTTTTTCTTTTTTCTTCTTCCTTTTTTCTTTTTTCTTTTTTCTTTTTTCTTTTTTTTTTTTTTTTTTCCAGAAAATCTAATTTTGGAAAATCTAATTCTAGTCCTAATGTCATTTTTACTAGGTAAAAATGCAATTAAAAGCCAAACCTGTACATAATTCTGTTGTTCAGATCTTGCACTCTTTTTGTTAATTCACAAAAACATAAATGTTTCCTGGCCATATCTTTCTTATTAAATATACAATAAATTATCTTTTGTTCACTCTGCAAATGTGCAGTGCACAATGGCAAAATAATTGCTGGTAGAGAAAGAAAACTCCTGATGTATAACTACTAATGATGAATTCTGATATCTAACAGTAAATAAGACTCTTGCTACAAAAGAAGAAATGAAGATAACAGAAAACCAGATTGCCCTGGAAGCAAACTGTGCTGCCTCAGGAGCTCCACTGTCACAGGGTTACAAGATTTTTGTCAAGATACAAAATAGCTTTATGTCAAATAAATTATTCATGGAGCCATTTTTTTATCACAGGTTTCCTCTCTTCATTCTCTTTCAAATACAGAGAGAAGAGTAAGTATGCTGTTCACCGGGTTATTACAAATATCACAGCAGTCATTAAATCTTCACATAGCCCATTTTATAAGGCAGTCCCTGTAGCACACTTATGCTCTAAAGCAGTGGCAAGAATTACCAAGGTATTTCCCATGAAAAGGATGGTGCCTTGGGGAAGGAAATCTCATGTTTAGTGCAGCTAAAACTCATGGTAACCTTTGTGAGAAACAGCTCGTTTGTCCATTTGTCAGCAGCTGGAGTCCTGACAGTCTTTCTGCCATGACACAAATAAAAAATTACCTGTTTTCACAGTTCAGACGTTGCCTTCTGGAAGAGGCCTGCTGATCTTCGGAGAACATGGCCATCCCTTTCCCTGACACTCCCTGGGTCTTTCAGAAGAGCATTTACCAGGCCCAGCACTGGAGCCACTTGCAGACACTTCTTGCCAGATGCCAACCCTACAAGCAAGAGCTTAAATGTAAAGCAAAATGAGAAGGAAGCAACAGTTATTTGCCAGGAGCTTTATTTTCAGAGCTGTGACATGGAACAAGTTCTTCCTACTTATCTCTCTACCAAAGAGAGCCTACTGATTTCTGGGGAAGTGTTTTAAATGCAGAATTTCATAGTAGTTTTAAAACATGACTAGATAAAGCACACAATGTTAGGAAGAGCAAGAAGAGATAAGCTTTTCAAGTACAGAACCAAAAATAGTATTTTCTGCCTGCAGGACCTCACTGCTGCTCCCTGTGCGATGCAGTGAGCAGGTACAGACAGAACCCACCTCAGTGTGCCTTAATCTGGAGCAAAATGACAACTTACGAAGATATCATTTTGTTTCACAGAAAATTTGTCATTTCCAGATGAGGAACACAGTCACAGGACACCGCACATACAGTGCAATTTGACTCAGTTGCTGACAAGAAGTAAAATAAGGATGAAAGCTGTGAAAAAGAAACATCTGCCATTTGCAAAGCCAAGCATCACAGCGGAAACAAGGGCAAGTCACGCTCTCCTGGGTGAGCACAGCTCAGACTCTTTTGCCGTGCTGTTTCCTGAAATACTGCTTCCCACAGCACTCTGCAGCCCAGCCTACAAAAGTGGAAATAATCCGAGCTGCACAGTTGACTTAAGCTCTGATAAAACACTCTGCTGTGTTACTGTCAGTATGCCAGTAAATGTCATTGCTTTTTTCTGGAATATACCACATTAGAAAATCTTCTGGGATAGGGCTTTAATTTCCTCTCTGAGCTCAGCAGCAGGTGAAATCTTCTTGCCCCTCCTGGGTGCAGCTGGCATGGCAGCTCCCAGTCTGAGCGCTTTCTGTCCCTCTATCCACGAGTTAAAGCAGTGCCTGTGCATTGGGGGGCTGTTTTATTCCCTGTCCTGTGCAGCATTACAGTTTCTCAGACTTCACCAAGAGTAAGTGACGTGACGCGAGACCTCAGTGCACTGTCACGGCATTGCACTGTGAGACATCTTTTTGGCAACTCGGGATTTCGTGGTGAAGGGGCGGAACAGCCCACGTCCTGTGCAGTTACTGGTACTGGGCTAGTGCGGGCAAGGCCTACGACACACAGGTCAGGCTCCAGCCAAATGCAGGACAGACAGATGGTCCCAGCTCCACAAGCTTGGAATATGGGAAACAAATAGGGATGCCTGCCCA